AGTGTGCATTTGCTTTTCCTCCTCTCTTGGTCACCTACTATTCAGGTACAAGGTCAAGTTTTGTCTTACTCTAGATATACTGAAGTGTTGTTACCTGTCGTGTGTATGAGCTACAGATGTACGGTTTCTTTTCTGTATTAAAGTATAAATTATATATGGCTTGTTTGGCTCTTTGAGTGGGCAGGGGACAGGTTGCCAGGTTTTGTTTCCTTGCTTCAGAAAGTAAGTGACCCCAAAGCCAGGAGTAATTTCACATCAGACAGAGCCTCTTTGATTTGGCAGGGACCTTGTGCAGTGGCTGCACAGAAGTGTTACTACAACTTGTGCTGAGAGGACCTCGACATTTACCAACTCACGACAGTGATGTTCCAAACACAGCACATAGCACAGGTATGACACAACACTACTTAACCCACAAGCTATGCAGCATCTGTAACAAGCCCTAGTGCTATTTTTGGTTAGCATGCTGTGAAAGATACTCTCCACTTCTACCTACTTCTGTCTTTGGAAGAAAACAGCTTTGGAGCAGGTCTGGCTTTTATTTCCCTCTTGAGTGTTGGAAGTATTTCAAGGGTTTTCTTGATGAAGCTTGAGGAAGGCGTGAAGAGTTTGTGAACAAGGTGGAATTACTGAGGTGATAACAGGAGCTTGTACTCACAAGTGGAGCTGGCGCAAATGTGAAGCAATGAAATAAAAACTGCAAGCTGATTTTGGTGTGTTACAAACTGGTAGGAAAAAATGAAGGGTCATGGCTTTGCTTCCAGTGCAAGCTTTTAAAAATAGCAAGACGAAAAGATTAAAAACAACTTGCCCTGAAGGTGGTAAAGTGAAGCACCATTTACACACTGCAGACATCAAGGCAGGAGTAAGGCCAGGGTCATCCCCCCTTGCCAGGAGGCCAGCCACATTCTGCCCAGAAAAAGCTTAATTCTTCTGAAGATCAGCAGTCTCTCAGGGTGAATAGGGTGCTCATTTCTTCATGTCTGCTGGGCATTTTTTGGAAATGCCGTCTTCAGCCTGTGAGTTACAATTGCATTCTCTTAGCTAAGCCCTTGATTATAAAATCAGTTTCAAGTCTGAAAAACACAACCCTGAGAGATTCCAGTTTGTAAAAACAAAACATGCTAGCAACATGGTGTTTACTAAGAGGATTTTATTTACACAACACAATGCAAAGATAGTTCCATAAAAAGTTGGCTCCCCCTGCAACACAAATACACTTGCCAAATTTTACAGTGCAATTTAGTAACAGCTTGTGAATATTTACAGAACACTTTTTTGACTTACAGGTTAAGGCAGAGTCAGGGCACAGTGACAAGAAACACTTAGTGCAGTTTTGTGCTAGGCATGATACAGAGATGAACTGGCAGCATAACTCTGCTTCAGAGCCACTGGAAATTCAGACTGGAATTGCTCCGAGAAGTCCAGCAAGTGCTTACAGCTTAAAAAAGGGGCTGAAAGACACAAGCAACAGCAGTACACAAGCCCATAGCTAAGAAAAATGTCTGGCTAATGTGGGAGATGGAATCAGCATACAAAAATCTTAAATCTGTTAGCAGTGAAGTATGGATCATGGAAGGATGACGCTGTACTTTTTCCCTGGTGTTGGGCAACAGCTGTCTTAGGAAGCAGGCTTACAACGCAAGAGGACTATATTCAAAGAAATCCAACTTCTACTGAAAGATAACAGGGGTGAGGTACCCAGCTGCTCCTTGTGCCTTTGAAAAACTTCAACTCAAAAAGTGAGCAAGCTGAGGTTTCAGAAGACCTTAAACCACACGCACTAGAAATGCACAACACACATTACTATACAGGGTTTTTTTCAGAGCAGGTTATCACAACTTAAAATTGTGTAGCTTCTTCATCTTTGGTATTTATAAATAAAAATGCCAGTCCCTTTTAGTAAAGGGCTAATAATGCACCTACTCAAAATCATTTATTCCTAATCTGCAGTAGCATTAAAGAATTTTGATTTTTTTTTAAGGCAGTAACTGAGCTGTTAAGAATTTTTATGTTTTTATGTTAGTACCTCTTAGTTTTCCAATGGTTTATAAGGCAACAGTTTCAAATGGCTAGAAGAAACTGCAGGAGATGGAGCAATTTGAGAAGTTGGTATCAGTCCTTCATAAAAAATACAAAGGGAGCAGAAGGTGATATTACTGACTAGTTTATAAAAAGCCTGATCCTATAAATCTTTACTTCAGTTAGCCCTTATTCATCTGAGTAAGCCCTACTGACTACAGTGATCCTGGTATGTCTAATTAAGGCTATTTTTGTGTTTCAGCTCTGTAGGATCCAACTGGTATCTAAACTGCTTATGGCAATTCATTAAACTCCAAGGACACATACAACATAGCACAAGGGGGGGGGTGAGAGAGAAGATGCTAACGAGTTATCACCCAGTTTTAGCTATTTAGTCCTTCAAGATGGCACTCAGTTCAAAAGACATCTAAGTAAAAATTCCCTAAAAGCACCTATTTAAAAAAAGTTTCACTACAAACCGATTTTCTTTTGCTTCCTAATCAAGAAAGTTAGGACTAAATACAACTGAGAGCCTTCCTTTTACTTTGAAACACTGCTCTAACATTGTTTTGTTTCTAACCAGCTTTTTTTGTTTGTCTGTGCTATGTAGTTAGTGTTCAGCACCAGTAAAATTTTGTGAGAATCCAAGACAGTTCAAATTGATACATACCTTTAGAAACCTCATTAAATTTATGTTTAAAATGAAAAATCTAATTGCAAATTCAAGACTGGAACCAGGCAGACCCAAAGATTAATGCCACCTGCCCCTGTTTTTAACTACAAAACAGGTGGCAAAGTGGAGCTCATTATAAAAAGAAATTACCAGAAGCTCAGCTAAGGCAGAATCCTCCTTCCCAAACCGCAGCCATGTTCTGAGAGATGCTTAGGCAAGCAAAGGCACTTTGGGGCTCTCCTGGAGAGCATCCTGATCGTAACTGAGTGCACTTTACTGAATTACACCAGGCAGTACTCAAAGAGCGGACATGGTGGGTTCCTCTGCCCCGAAAGTGCCCCCACCAGGCGCCATCTCTTTGGAGGGCCATGGGGACAGAAGGTTCAGCCACCACAGCAAGAGGAGCTCTACATGGAGAAACCAGGGTGGCCTCCATCATCAAGACTGAGAAGAATCCAACACTGCTCTGCTCAAAACCAAGAGCAAAAAGGCCCCAGAGGTGGTTTCGTCTTTAACCCGATGAAGATGCAGCAGATCTTTGAAGTGGCCAAGAGGTGGCAGCAGCAGGGCCGGGCAGCCTCGCAGCTGACCCCACTGACCCAAGGTGCAAACCCATGATCAGGTGAAGGGAATCTCCCTCCCTCTCTGCTCTAATTCCAGATTCAGCTGTAGTTTTTATTATCTGCATTGTTTGTAGAGCCATCCTTTCCTGCAGTAACTGAAAACTGTTGGGGCTTGGTGGAGGAAGTGGCCCTGTTTCTCCTGTCACTGTCTAGAAAGAGGGTTGCACAATGTTTTAATTTAGAAAAATATTAAATGGCTTGAGGATCACTGTCTTAGTACCAAAAGTAAAGTGCACCGCAACTGGAGGCCACTGTGACAGAGCTGAGAAATGCTAGTAAAGAGGCTTCCAAGTAGCATTGTAAAAAACAGCACTACAAACTAAGGTTAAGGCAATACACGTTGTGTTCTCCTACTAGATAGCTTAATGCAGAGTTGTCTATCTCAAGCTTTAATTATTGCTTTGTTTCCTCTGTACTGAAGTCCTTAGCCACTGGGAAAACAGTGCTGGCAGAATTGGCAGATTGAGTTTGTCACTTAATGCAGGACTAGCAAAACAGTCCACATAAACATCCCGTGCGTTGCAACGTCAAAGTGAAGGCTTGCTCTCATCTCCCAATGGACTGTACAATCTGGCAAAGAATTTAAAAAGAAAACAAACTCTTGCTCCTGAAGCAGCAAAACGTGCTTGCAGCAGAGATGAGACAAACATTTCGTGGAATTTTTCAATGCCGCAGAAAGAAGAAATCCTTAGTAACAACCAGGGTGTGTAACAAAACAGGGTCTTGAAGTCTTCTCCAAGAGCTGATAGCCCTCAAGTTTTCTTAAAAAAAAAAAGTTCTTTTATGAGTATAAACCCAAAGTACAGGAACAGAATTCCATGGCTCAGAAGTTGTCCCAGGTAAAGATTCATTACTTTCCTGCTTTCATATAGGATGGTATTGCTCCTCGGGCTGTCAGACCTTCAAAGCGCTTGTAGGTATAATTGATAAAAACCCAGTCTTTGTTCTTGTAGTCAGTCTCTGGATGGTTGCTTGTTGCCACTGGTAAGACATAGAAAAATAAAATTATCCTTTGAAGACCACAAAGTTTGTTTTCATACAAAACACTGGATGTGGAGCAGTCTAGGCATTGTTTCATTCTTCAACCCCACGAAGCAAACGCGTGAATATGCTTTGACATGTCAATACATGGATCCTTTACATATTTACACTAATACATACTGTCCCCTCCTGTCCCACCCTATCCCTACCCCCTATACTAAGTGTTAGGCACGGTAGCAAGAATTAGCCAGCCCCAAGAGGTTCTCGCCACGTTGGGCTCACAGGTCCCGCTGAGGTTGGAGCTTGCTGGGACCTCCTCAGACGGCTTCCGCATCGTGCACAAGCCTGCATCCCATCTCCTGAAACCCAAATGATACCTTGCGCACCCCTGCTAACAATTTGATCATGATAAAAAAAACCTAGCAGCTAGTAAGAGCCTTTCTCTGATCAACAGGAAAGTTACATTATTTTGTTGAAGAAGAGGAAGGATTGTTCACATGCAGAATCAAAGCATTTACCTGTTGGTTTAAGGATATCAGATTCTGGAAATTCATCAAAGTTTGAGGTATCGTCAATGCTTTTAATTTCTATTGAAATTGCAGCAGGTCTCTCTCTGCCAAGAAGAGCAGTTCCAGCATTAACATTTCAAAGGCAGACGAAAGTAGGATTCAGGCACTTTCCATTTCTTAACAGAATCAAAGACTGAAGGCACCTAAACCTTAGCAAGCTTCAGATAAGGAACAAAATGCTGTCACCCACACCTAGATATAATAAATGCCAGTCAAGGTGCTCACTTCTGCTAACAGGACTAGCTTTAAACAGTCCATAGAGAAGAGCAGCTTGCTTTTCTGCAAAGCATCTTACCTGATATGCTCCCAATCAACCCCTTCAAAGAATGGGTTACTCTTTATTTCCTCCACACCAGATGCACCAATTCTGTGCTCCCATTCACAGCAAAATCTGGGATGGAAGGAAGAATGAAAACGAAGAAAGAATGAAAATGAAAGCATTCCATCCAGAAATGGAACAGCTTTCTGAACTGATACTACTACGGTTTCTTAACATCTAAATGGAGTAGGTCAAGAACTCCCACTGCAAGACCAACACACAACGAATGTCATATCAAATGCTATAATTAATATGTGGTATTCTTTCACAACAGGATAATGTGCCCTTTGTATTTCAGGACCAGTGTAGAGCACGAGAACATATAAAGCCTAAAAAGCTAGACATTTATATTTCTGTCCTGAGAATAGATAAGTGATTGAAAATATAAATGAAAGAACAAGAATCAGCATGCACTGGGATACGTTTGTATGCTCGAGTGCATACAATGTCAAAACCATTGCTATTGTAAGAAGCTAGCTCTGGCAAAAAGATTTAAGTTGCTTCCACAAGAAGCTCGCAGACAAAATAAAGAGCAGAAAAATTCACATTTTGCCAGACTGGGAGCACTTACATGGGAGCTCCTTTTTAGCATAGTTTAGTCAGGGAACCACTAAATGACGTCCGATAGACAAAGGTATTTGACGAGAGAGTTCAGCATTTGATGCATGTGTGTAACAGCATGTAGCACCAGGTTTTTTTCACGTGAAGCAAGCCATGACAGGCGTACACTACAGTTTGCAAGACAAGAAAATTAGTACTATATTAACTGGCAAACCATACAGCTGGCACCTTAAAATAAGATCTTTTGCTTTATCAGATATTGGAACTTCAGGCGGAAATGTCAGAGTCTCTTTCCAATTCATTACTTTCTTATATGTTTCTTGAGGAGTCTCAGAACAGAACGGTGGATAACCTGAAAAGAAAGAAAAATACAATCTTGTATAAAGCAAAAATAGTTCCTGAAGTCTACAATGCACTAGAACAAACCTCACAAACCATGCAAGAAGTGGATGCTTTGAGAACCTGACCCCAAGCACATAAATACAGCTGACGTCCTACACAGCAATGCCTGTTAAAACTCATGCACTGCCGGTTTCTTACCGATCAACATCTCGTACATGATGACCCCAAGCGACCACCAGTCACAGAGTTTGTTGTATCCAGTCTGCATGAAAACTTCAGGGGCAATGTAATCCGGCGTACCCACGGTAGAAAAAGCCTGAAACGAATACCATCAGTTAGGTATCTTCAGAGATAACTGCCTGATACAGAAGTGGGAACTTACGCAACAACAGTTATTTTGAGGAGCACAACAGATTGTCTTAAGACCCTTTAGCAAAGTTGTTTAAAGCCCTTATTTCAAGATATGTAGAGACAAAATCAACAAGTTCATGTGAAGGAGTCTTAAAATACCGTCAAGGAAATAGGGAAAGGTACCACTGTCTAGATAAACCTTGGAATGGGTCATTAGCCCCTTGTGATACTGCAAGTGGCAAGAACCGTTAGTTTTAGCTGGGAGGCAGCAAGTATCAATGTAAATAATTATAGCAGGGCTATCTCAGGCACATATGCCCCCAGCTGTTCAGCAGATGGATGAAGGACAAACTAGAGTCATTCCTCTTTTTAAAAGAAAAAGCATAATTTTATTTTGGCATTGTTCAGAGCTCTGAAATGGATTAACACCTGTCATTTAAATACGTGTGCCATTTGAATGCAACAGCTCAGAAGGGAACACTTCCAAGCAGGTGAAACGTACTTACCAGCTGCCGTCTGTTTCTCTTCCACGTCTCTGCTTTCCTTTTGGAATTCATGTTCTGGAAAGCTAAAGGAGATTGGAATATATGGGACTGAATCCTACTCGTCACCCAACACACACTTTTACCCCCAAACTTTTGCACTAAAAATCTCCTTTACGACATCAGAAAAGGCAGCCAGGGCCCGGACAGCCAGCCCACTTTGCATTCAGCTGTGCTGGTAAGAGGCCACACTCCCCAGGTGCCCACCGCTGGCCCCTACAGCCAAGGTTTACCACCACAGTGAAGCCGGAGCTCTTTGCAGAGGCACACCTTAATTCACCTCTCGCTGAAGATAAGCCCCGCCAGCAGAGATGAACTAGTTAACCTGCCTCAGCCTTGCCTTGCTCAGCTTACCTGCCGCAGCCTAAGGGGTGCCGGCAAGGGCCGATGAGAGCACTCGGCAGCCTCTGCAGGCAGTGGCAGCCAAGAGCAAAGCAAGGGATGCGACCTCTTCCACTGGCACGGAGGGTTGCAAAGAGCACATCTGTCAACACCCTAAACCTATCAGCAACTTCCATGTCACACTCATAAATTTTATAAAGCTTTTCATTAGCGATCCAGGCTTTCAGTGTTTTTTTAACTCCATGATCAAACTTGTTCCCCTTGAGAAAATTACTGAATATTCAGAGGCTGCATGCTCACTTACTACTTTAAATAACACATGAGATAGATACAGCTAGCATCTACCAAGTCAAACTGATTTTTCATTCGAGGTTTGTTACACATGCAAAGAAAGGCTACAGCAGAGTCTATTTCAAAGACAAATGTCTAGAAACGAAGATGTTTATAAACACTAAAGTAACTAAAACTACTTTTATAAATAAAAATCTACAAAAAATCAGAATTACACCTCATAAGACAATGTTGATTATTAGATGCCCCTCTGCAGCCTTCTGGCCTCACAGTGAAATGAGTTACGGCAGGCACCGACAGCAAGCACGCAGATACCCTTCTGAAGCCAAATAACTTACTGAAGTCACTAGGAAGACTATGGTTCAAGTTTCTGTAAAATTCTGTTCTGTGGGCTTTCTTTAGTCCAGTACAGAGACCAAAATCTGAGAGTTTTACGTGGCCCTAGAAACAAGGGAAAAAAAAAAAAAAAAAAAACACCAAAACAGTGAGACATTATCATAGCAAATCAACTTTTCTACTTCTTCCCCTCTCTTTATTTTGTATAACAAATAGATGCATTCTTTTTGCATTCCTTGTTTTAGCCTAAGACTGGATGTGTACATAGAACCAAGTTATTAATACTTTCATCACTACTACACAGAGAAGACCCAGCAGCTATTTACGTCAAGGAGCCTCTGCTCCTGCAGGCTCCTGGCCGCTTCAGAGCGACAGCCAACGTCTCCAGAGGGAGCTGTGGTCCCTGCATTGCACACTGACCCCAACAGATAAGGAGAAACGCCTTCAGTTCACAGATTGGATCTGTCCTAGTGCATAACATGTGACCACACCCAACTGTGCAATTTTTAGATGCAATTTTTACATCTAAAATATACATACTTTTCAAAGCCCTCAATTTATCTACACCTAGATGTAGGCATACGGAATAACATCAGTAATTCCACCAGTGCATTATTAGCTGGCTACAGGTGAAGTGTAACTACTTACTGTTAGCACACTTTTTCCAAAGAAGCTAAATTTTAAGCAAACTTGTAGTGAGCAACAGGAGGACAGTGAAACGATCAAGCTTTGTGCAAACCGCCTCCAAGAACCATCTAGAAGCAATCCGGTAGCCTGGCCAGCCTTCAGAAATACGTCCTGATTCTGAGGGAGATAATATCTCCGTTTTCAGTCTCGCTAATGGAACAGCTACATCCTTCGCATTTGATATGATCATCTACCCAATAGCTGGCAAGCATGAGCGTAACAGATGTCAGACCAAAAGGAAACATCTTTGACTTCAGAGGGGAGAACTGAAACTGTGTGTTAAATTGCAGCTGAAATAACCAAAAATAGCTGAAACAACTGTCAGAAGAGAGCTCATAAGCGAGATACGAATACAGCTGGAGGTGCAGGAGAGGTCTTTCTTGGCTTGGCTTTTTTTTTGCCCCCAGCAACATGGCAGATATGCTCTCAGAAGCTCACAGGAACAGGGCTAAGAAAGAAGCACCATCTTCCTTCCCAACTGTCACCACTAGTTCAAGTCAATATTAAAAATTACAAGACCTATTTGCTACTACCCAGCCAGTGTCTGGGACATACCTTGCTATCCAGAAGAAGGTTGTCTGGTTTTATGTCTCGATGGATAAAACCCAGCTGATGAATAGAATCGATGGCTAGCACGGTTTCAGCTATGTAGAACTGTGTCTCTTCTTCTGTTAAAGTGTCTTTTTTCATCAACAGTGTCATCATATCTCCTAGAAGTCACCCCACAAACAGCAAAGGTAAATACAAGCAAACACACAAACTCCACTCTGGCTGATTTAGAAGTTCACAAAGAAAAGAATTAAGCTATTTAAAACCTCCAGAAATCGAAACTGATTTCATCTAAAGTAACAGAGTTCCCCAGCACCTCTGTGACAAACTCTTGTATTTCCCCTTGTATCACTGTGTGGGGAAAGACGTGTACTGCAGTTCCATTAGAGACAGCTAAAAGCATCAGGATGGAATAGCAGTAGACGAACATCCCCTGAGAGTCAGCTATGGACTGCCACTCTTCGCTACACAGCTGAATCAGATTAAAATAGATCCTTTCAGCTACAGAGCTGTTACAAAAAACAGATTGTATTTGTGCAATGTCATCTCAGAAAGCCTTCTTGTGGTTTCATTAGTCACATATATCACAGGCTTTCAGTATAACTTTCTTCTTAAGTGAATTACAGTAGCATTATCACTCAAGGGCAAGCGTCATCATCCTCTGAAAAGAGGACCTTGAAAGTTACTCTTTCTGCAAGCCAGCTAAAAGCAGAAAGTTAGAAAATCAAAAGCTGGTTATGTTATGGATCTATAGATAGCCAGCGCACAGTAAGAAGAACTAGCAGAACATTAAGGTCAAGTTTCAAAGCTCTGTAGCTAGGAGACCCAAGCAGATAACCTGAGCCTGACCCAAAGACCTCAGCGTCCACACTCCTACAAGCAGAAAGCTTTACAATGACTTGTTTCCTCACAAAGCAGTGTCCAGGACAAACACCACTGGATCCTCACCCCATACACGCTCGCCCCAGACTACAGCTGTCATTAAGAAATTAGAAACCCACAAGCCTTTGGATTCCAGGTAGTTACCTCCAGGCAGGAACTCCATGATAAGGTAGAGGTTTAGCTTGTCCTGAAAACTGTAGAACATTTTCACAACCCACAAACTGTCTGCCTCCACTAGAATGTCCCGCTCCGCACGAATATGGCCAACCTGGAGATACACATACACATTTGATTAATTACAAGTCTGTGTTTTATTACATGCATTTATTTCACAGACAATTCAAGTATTATATTGAAAAGCATCAAATATTGAATAGACAGCAATCAAACTTCTGCATGAGAGCAGAAACACCACCAAAACATCAATAGTTTCACCCTCAATACTTTCAGGTAATAAAATAGCGTAACATGTTCAAAATCAAACCCAAAAGTGATGTTTCTGACTGCAAAAAGGCGAGAAGCTTTCATTTAAACTGCTGTATTTTTCCAGAATTTTTTTTTCTCCAATCTGATAAATCCCATTGAACACCAACTCCATTTTACTCCTCATTGTGAAGGTCTGAAAGGCCCTTTTACATTCCAAAGTCTCCACTGGGAAGTTTATGGGGACTTTTGCCTTGGACATTTACACTTGAGTAACATTTACACTTATTGTGTGACTTTTCCTGCCATACATCAAGTCACAGGTAGGAAGGCAAGAGGCACCAACCTCCTTCTTGTAAGCAAAAACTCAAGCTAGATAAATTTAAACCACCCTCCTGAACAACAAGGTTCCATACAGAAAGATAACCCACGTTTATGGTTTTATACAGTTCTTCTGGCATTTGGGTCCTCTTCAAATCAGAACTGCCCAAGTGATATGGGACACTATGAAAACTCTTATCTTAAAAACCACTTGGATAACAGACCACTCCACAATTTATTACCGTGGGAAGATTCACGAGGAGAAACATATGGTTGACTGTAAAAACAGGTTAATCCTATACATTAAAATGTATCACTTTTTTACAGAAATATCTTCTAATAATTAGATCTCTCAAAATCTAGCTCTCCTCGAAACAGCTGGCATGCCCTTCAGATACGGCTTCAGCCTATGCCCACAGATTCAGACCGCAGCACAATTTGGCAGCGCTGCATAAAGCTCCTGTGTGAACACACTGCTGCTTGTTTTTTAAACAAGTATCTTCAGAAGTGGAAACAAGCTGCTGATTTTGTGAACACACACAGAGTGCTTCCTAGATTCATCCCCCTGCTTAACAGGGAATTATTTTCGCAGACCATTATATTCCCAGAAGTACTAGCAGAGGAAAGCCTGAAAAACTTTAAATGCTGCTACTTTGTGTCTCTCTGGGTCAGAATTCCAGCAGTCACATCACTTGGATATTTATATCCGATTCCATAAATCAGAAATGCAGTAAAACACCAGTCTGGACATCTATACTGAATCATTTGCACATATGTACATGTAACATACGTCACCATAAAACGAGGAGGAGGAACATAAATCAGATACCTAGAACCGTCCTTCTCTTTCTTTGGAGAAAGGCAAACCTAGTCCTTAGAAAAACGCTCTGCTTCCCCACATTTTCAAGGAGAAAGCAAGTTCAGCCCTACCTTGCTTCAGACTGAAGAGCCTCTTAGAAAAAAGCGTTATAATTGCAGCTTCCATTAAGACTAAGCAAGGTGTTAGAGGAGGTTTGAAATGCTGTGCTGAGCATCCAGTCACATACAGTAGCCTGTAACCCTATAGATATTCCTCAAACTTTTGCATTGTTACAAGGGATGCTTAAAAACAAAAAAAGAAAGAAATACAAGACTCATATGAAAGAGCCCACTAGAACATGGATCCTTATGAATTCATGCGAGATTTTTGTGACCTATTTCCTCTAAAAAATGAGGGGAAAAAAACCCACATAATTTTTTAGTTAGGGAACCCAGACCACAGATGCCTATTCCTCCTCTCTACACATCACAATTCCCTCCCAGTCATCTAAAACACGGATGGCAGCACTGCTACTCAAGGTGGCTATTCACCTGCTCTTTTTCCAGCATATCAGCTTTACGCAGTATTTTCATTGCATAAACATGCCCTGTATCTTTCTTCTGGACAAGTCGCACCTAGGAAAGATGCAAAAATTTGAGTCAAATACAGCATTATCACTACAACTCTTGACAAATTTGGGTACCAAGCCCTTGCATTTAATGAAATCATATCCGGTTATAAAAACAAAAAGCATGACATAGTGCAGAGTAACGGCAAACAAGCTTTTTTCATTCCAAGAGATGAAATCGTTTTAACAGAGATGACACGTTGAGCAGTGACACACCTACAGCAGCAGCTCCAAAGCCGCTCTCTGTGAAGGCGGCCACCAGACGAGAGCCCCGAGAGCAGCCCTCTCCCGCTTCCGTAAGCTCAGCCCGAGCAGGTCAGAACTGAAGCACACTGCCCAGCTTGTGTTTAACGGGCCCATCAAGTCCTTTTCAACAGCATTCATGTTCCTTTAAAGCGCTTAATGTTTTAAACCAGCATTTATCAGTCATAAAGACAGATGCAGGTGACTGTTAAGCTAAAAATCAATCTGCAGTTGTTACAACATTTATCCTTCACTTGTGTAAACTATGCAAGTCCTTCACAAATACCAGTGCCATCCAGAAGAACACTCAGTCATCCTTCCTGGACTCACCTCCCCAAACGCTCCTCTGCCTATTACTTTCAAAGACTCAAAGTCTTCCAAACCAAGCCTTGTTCTCTTTAGGCGGAGAAACTCCGTTTCCTTTTGTGCATGTGCCGACCTCCTGATTCTTTTCTAGGGTTTAGAGGGGAAAAAAAACCCACAGTGAGAATTCTGCAGGGGAGCTCCATGGAGATCACAGCAATTCCAAGTCAAGATGCCAGGTCTCCATTTATAAAACAAAATCACTTGTATTACTTTAACTATTAAGGTAATTTTCCCATATTCATTACCTCTTCATCTTTTAAGCCTTCTTCTTCCATCATTTGTTCTAGCTTCTTTTGCCTATAGCAGAGACAAATGAGAAAAACAAAGATTGAATCATTAACATTGTTTCTTAATCACAGGCACATATGCAACACCTCTGGTCTGGGCTTGCTGTGAAAGGAGGAGGTAATGCCAGCAAATGACAAGTGTAGATTATATATAAGGGAGAATCAGACGTGAGATTAATTTTGAAGAATCTAATATTAGAGCTTTACCATTCTAGCCTTGTTCTCTGCAGTTTCGACAATCTAAACCTGCCTTGAGTTTCACATCTTATCCAACGGTACGTTTTCATTGTATGCAAATGTAGATTGAGGAGATCTGGGTTCAGTTCTTGTCTCTCTCTTTGACAGCTGGGCAAGTCACTTAAGGCCAGAGCCATAATAAATATTTTAGCACCGAAGTCTCACTTATTCCAGGGAGAACTGGCTATCTGAACATCTTTGTGGATCTGTACTGCAATTTCTCTGCATCTCAGATGCATCACATGCAAGATGAGAGGAGTTACTCTGCTTCCAAATATCTGAGATGCTTAAAAAGTTTGGGAAGAGGAAACATGTCTGTACACATTCTCCCCCCTTAAAGGATCAGAAGTATTTACAGCCTTAATACAAAATGATTATTTGGGAGCAAAGAAAGGAAGCAAGACTTCAGAGGGGAGATGGCTTCAGGGGACATTTGTAACGATTACCCCCGGGAACTTCTCCCCAGCACTGATCACAGTAATAGCTGATTGAACTGGGATTGGCGTTTTGGGTTTTTGTCCTCTCCATGTGTGGTTTTTTGGTATAACATTACAAACGTACTAAAACATTCCTTCTCTTTATGCAAGTCATTCTTCGCAAGATCCTCTTCCGGTCTCCTGTGCCACTACGCAGCTGCTGCAACACGATAATATTTTGGGTTATCACTTGGACAATCGGGCACATTTAAATCGCTTTGCCCTTATTTAAGTACCCGGTCAGCACTGTCCAGTCATCTCCTTTCACGCTCGAAGCAGTGACTCCAGTAGCAAAAGACAACTGCTGCAATATACAGAATTAAATAGCTCAGCATGACCAAGCAATGCTGAAATTCCCCCAAATATCCTTAGCAGGTCCTGTCTGCGCTTCAGTGTCCGTTTTGTCAACACCATTTAAACTCCAAATTGCACATCCACAGACACATCTCTCGTTAAAAAAACATGCACCTTGTAAAGTCCAGTATGTTTGTTCAGACAAAGTCTTGGTCCTAAACAGAAAAAAACCTGCCTTTGAGGTTTTGGGAGTAGACAATAGCTCATAATAAAAAGCAAGAGCTGTGCAAAGAGAAAGAAAGGAATTAAACCAGTGACATTTTCTGTTTGGATTAGACCTCAATCTCTCATTACTAATTGGAAGCTTTGAAGAAAATCCGTATGCAAGTTAGTATTTATTTCTAAATTGCTTCCTCATTTCTGCAGTTATTGCAGTTAGCAGGCATTCCTCTTGGATCTAGCTAGCGTTTTGGAAGCAAGTCTGCAAACACTGAACCTTTTTGAAAATTCTGATTATAGACTACATGGCAAGTTGGGAGAACATCAGAAGACCCAGTGCTACAGCTTGAGGGTACTCGGCAAATTAGAGGCTTCCAGCCAAGGAAAATAGAAGTAACACTTCTCAGTTAAATCGCTTGTTATATTTTGACCAAAACATTTGAAGAGATGCCGTAGGTTCAGCGACATCACAGACAATAAGTTAGCATTAAGGGACAGTCCTTGCAGCAATCCCTCGTTGTCTCTGAGAAGATTATCTTCCTTTATCAGCTGACTCGGTCACACATTATAATCCAGACTGAAACTGATGCTCTAGAACGAGTTTTAAATATTACAGCTGGGGACATAAAACGGGAAGAGGCAACAGAACAGACGTGGGCAGGACAAACATTTGGAAATGCTGGCTTTCTGCTTCAGAACTGCCTGAACAATCCCAAGCACATCCCGAAGTTCATTTCTACTCAGTGGTGTAATCAAATATATTTTTTAAGAAAAACTCGGTAACAGTCATCTCACTTTTGCATTTCCAGGCACGTTTCAGGTAGTTGCAGAAGAAACTCAAGAAGCTCCAGCCTAAACTCCAGCGGGACTCGGAACCCCCACAGCTGCCTCTGGGTGCTCATGCTGAGCCCCGGCCAGGTGCCCATCCCAGGAGCTTCGCTACACGCTCAGCAAAATGCTCAATTTTCACTTTGGGACCAGAAAACTAAATGCAGTTTATACAGATTAATACATATTTTTGGCTCTTACCCAGTTTGGAAAGGAAGCAAGAAAGGTTTTTACCTCATCTCTCGTTCTTCGTGCTGTGCGATGAGATTGCTGTAGAAGTTTTCTAACGTCACCTTTGTCATCGTCACTCGCTCCTTGGTGTGATTACTCATGGACGAGCATGGCGTGGGGCCTGTCATTGCCATGGCTATTAGGAAAGAAAAAGGGAGGAAACATTGGACATGATAAACAAAACATAACCTTCAAACTGAGCTGCAATCAATTAAGCGACGCTGAATCACAGAGTGAAGATTTTAACGACGAGCGCTAACAGCCCAGTTGCCTAAACCAAGACTAAGCAGGGAAAAGTCTTACAAAATAAAAGGTGCAAGTTAAACTTCCTGTTTTGAACATTTTTGGTCTGAAAATAAGAGGGAAGGAAACTTAAGAAACACGGTGCCTCAAAAACCACAATTTCAGGCAGCACTGCAAGTGTTTCTTTCTCCCGATATATATTTTATCTTAAATAAATGTTAAAAATTCAGAAATATCACACTGAAACATCTGATCCAGAAGTTCCCCTTCCTTTGACCCGTGCAGAAGTAACTCCATCACTCGCCTGCTCTCTCCTCTGCTGGGAAATTTATCAAGCTCCTGAACGCTGTCCCAACAACACGACTGAGGAAGGAGAAGAAAGGGCATTCAGCTGCTTTTAAGCACTCTCGCTTTTACTAGATGCTTTCAGGCAGAAATCTGGCAAAATGCAGAGGGCAGCTGCCTCTGAACAAACTGTAGTTTTAAAAGAAAACCACCCATTGTAAGCGTCCTACATTTACGTACAGGATTGCGTATCGGGAGTACGCCACTTCCAACCGGTAGCACAGCTTCAGGGCATTATTTGACAACCCAGCTCTCCTTTCCAAAACGCATTAAAATGCAAAGATTTCAAGCGTTAAACTACCTCTCGGTCTAGTTCCCCCGGCCGCAGCGTAACTTGCAGGAAGGTAACCGAGTTCTGCAACTACTGCTAGAAATTGCAGGCAGACACAGGTCAGGCACACTTCCCGTTTTTACAACGCCTGGGCGCTGGCAACGTTTTACGAGTTATTCTTTTCTGTTTACTTCTGGCCGATCTTTACAAGGCATCGCTACTGCGCCTTGGCGAGCCGCGTCCTGT